TTCAGGGTAAATTTGTTTTCATATTCGGTTAACTTTAGAATTAATTTTTTGGGGTATAACATTGTGACAAATAATCTCCAGGGAAATATGTGGAAAATGGTGGCGAGTGTAAGTGTATTGCTTCTCACACACACACACACACACACACACACACACACACACACACACACACACACACACACACACACTATATGTCCTGTTTATAGTTCAAAATAATTTCTTCTGGGAGATGAACCACTTTTGTGTTATCGTCATATATTTGGTTATGTTAGATAGAAACATGATGGCTGTGTTAGATAAGATATTTACTGTATATTAGGTGGCTGTGTTAGACATCTATACTGTCTTAAGATACACCTTTATATATGACCGTCTTGAACTTGAATATACTTGATTACTGCGTTACACACGTACTGATCTTGATTATCAAGACAGTATAAAACTACTCTCTGATATATAATATGTGTGTGTGTGTGTGTGTGTGTGTGTGTGTGTGTGTGTGTGTGTGTGTGTGTGTGTGTGTGTGTCTCTGTCTGTCACTCGTTCCTGCCTAAGCCTTCCCTGGACCACCTGTACACCACATGTCTGCAGCAGGTGTTCCACTCCATCTCTCACTTGTGTGTTGGCGGAGTAGGTGTCGGGTATAGTACAAATATACTCGTGTATGGTATTGTAACATAGTGCATGTAATAATAATAATAATAATAATAATAATAATAATAATAATAATAATAATAAATTAACGGTCTATTGGAAGAGCATGGCAGCCGGAAGGCTGAAAATATACAGTTGCCTAATTGAGGAATGGGTCTCTTGATTTACAAATAATATACAAGTAACCTAAGTGATGCAAATATGATATATAATAACTAGGTGGGGAGAAGATTATTCAACAGGGAATTTCAACATAGTAACAGTGCAAAAGTAAGATTGACTGGGATTGGATGCACTGGTTGATTGCAAATTGTTGATAATTTTTACAATGGTTGGGACTGGGCTGTTCTTATAGCGATAAGCTCGTGCTCGTATGGGCTGGATGCAGTTGTGGTTTCGAACAGCAATTCGTGGACGAGGCATCTCGGGTGGTAGTAGGAGCCGTTGTCGAGGATGGTGCAGAAGCTTCTCCCCAAATTTGCAGATGAGATCGTGGTAAGGATCACAGAAAGCCGAATAGGAAGGGGAGAGAATAATCTTGCACGCCCTTTGCACTTTTTCTAGGCATTCCCGTTGTGTGGCATTATGACTGTAGATGAGGTGGAGACGAAAACTGGAGGATTTGACAAATGCTCTGACGTGTGTTTTTCAGTTTAGTTTGTTGTCTGTAGTGATGCAGAGGAACTTGGTGGACTTCACAACCTGGAGTGTGTTGGGGCCTAAAGTAATGAAGGGAGGTGGGACAAGGTCAGAGGAGAGGTTGAGGTACATAACCATGGTCTTGGTATGGTTGATGGTGACGTGGTGGAGTCGTCGACATAATTATTTCCAGTCTCTTTTTATGTGTACGCGAACGAGGATGCCATCAAAGACAATGCATCTGTGGTGTATGAGAATTTAGGAAAAATGCCCCCTCCCCACACACACACACACACACACGCACAACGCTACACTCGTTAGTTAAGCAGTCGACGTAAACATGTATTGTGAGTGTTTTATTTACAGTAACAAAGCCATCAATAGGTAAGTGACAGACAAACAAAGAGACAGATACACATATAGAAAGAATGAAAGAGAGATGAGTAACCATAGGCTTCTATCAATAGTTAAGATAATAATAATAATAATAATAATAATAATAATAATAATAATAATAATAATAATAATAATAATAATAATAATAATAATAATAATAATAATAATAATAATAATAATAATAATAATAATAATAATAATAATAATAATAATAATAATAATAATAATAATAATAATAATAATAATAATAATAATACTATAAACTCGGTGGGACTGTCGAAGATAAGAACAAAGTATTGGAACTAAATTAAAATCACGTTCGTTCAACTCTGGCAACAGGCAACTGATAATAAATGTCAACTCTGATAAAACTTCTAAAATATTCCAGTAAAAACAACTTAATTATATTCTCTTATACAAAAGTGTCTCAGATTTACGAAATTTATTCCATCCGGTATTGAATTACTTATATTTTCTGCAAGATTTAAACACCCAACACAATTTGTTATTTTTAGTCGAAGAGACACAAAACTGCAACACAATTTGATATTAAGTCGAGGAAATAACAATAAAGAAGTTTTTCCACAGACACACACACAAATTTACTAATATGAAGGAATCCTTACGTTAACCTTTGCTCGGCTTCACTTCACAAAATAATAATAATAACAATAATAATAATAATAAAAATAGTAAATAATATTAATAATAATAATGGTACTTACTCAGCAACACAATCGTTATACAAATAAATTATCACAAACGCACGCCTCTCTCTCTCTCTCTCTCTCTCTCTCTCTCTCTCTCTCTCTACACACACACACACACACACACATCATCATCATCATCATCATCATCATCATCATCATCATCATCGACCAACCACAACGTCAATGGTAAATGGTGTGTGGTAGGTGGAGGGTGGTGTGTGGTAGGTGTTGTGTGGTAGGTGGAGCGGTGACCATTCTCAACCTGACTCATTCTTATTGATCTTGTCAGCCTACCACTCATGAAGCCTTTCTTAAGAGGAGGAGGCCAACGCTCACTTTACTCAGCCTCTGGTATAATGAAGATAACTAGCCAATTCTACCATCAGGACTACCTCACTACTCACTAGCCCTCACTCCTTACCCCCCCCCCCTCCCACACACACTGAAGATTGAAAATTTAATCCTCACAGCTTTGTATTACCGTGTGAGATACCAACCACTACACATGAAAACTTAAATAAGATGCATTTTTTTTTGTCCCTCTCCATTGGTTACACATGCCACTGAATCCCCTTGTTTACTGTCAGGTCTTTAGAGATTGGTGCATCCTAACCTTCATCAGTATCTCTCTATTGTTACTCTCTGATACGCTGAATTAATCCAGAAATTCCTTCAAGTTGAGCGGAAGTGTTGGTACCCCTGAATTTTTTTGTTCTGCTATGATAACTGTGAAAAGAAACTCTCTCTCTCTCTCTCTCTCTCTCTCTCTCTCTCTCTCTCTCTCTCTCTCTCTCTCTCTCTCTCTCTCTCTCTCTCTCTCTCTCTCTCCTCAATTATTACATCATTTAATCAAGGTAAACAGACAGAGAGACAATCAGACAGGCGGTACTGATGGTCGAAGAGCGAGGAGGGACAAGGTACGGTTCTCCCGCTATCACTGATAAGGTTCATGGCTGTTTGCTACTATGCTGCTCCTGACCGACCTAGGCGTACGTGGCGGAGATTACGTGTCCGTATTAATAACGTCGTTCAACGTATACATAAGTGTTATGGGACGTAATGTAATAAAATGTTGAATTTATGTGTCCTAGTTTATGTGCCACGGTGTATGTTTCTCAGTGTATGTGTCTCGGTGTATGTGGCATGATGTATGTGTCCCATTGTAAGTTTTCACGATATGTCTCAGTATAATGTTACGTTGCTACCATGTTTCGTAGCCTTGATGTTTCGTAATAGTCTACTACTACTACTACTACTACTTTTTTTTTTTAATAGTGGCCTCCAGCCTCCCCCAATAGCCACACCTTCGCCACCATTTAATTACCTTAATATTAGATATCCTAATACATAAGTAGCTATCCTATCTGTGTTAAATTAGTTGAGCCGCAGATCTATGGGGCATTCAGTGACTGTAGCCTCATAGTCAATATCTGCAGCAGTTGTCGGAGTAGGGGCAGAAGCTCTCGTTCCCCTGAGGCAGATCAAAGCCGACCGAAGGAGAGAGAAAGACAGTCGACATCTCATCCAGGCTGTAACATAACTTCTGGGCTGCTGCTTCTGTTCGGAGATCACCTCCGCGAGTCTGGCGTAGAAACATCTTGCACTTGGTCCCATCCCACCAGAGGTTGTGAACACTACTGTAGAGGAGTGAAGCTGCCTTGATCAACGTTTTGAATTCTCTCCCCATATGCCCTTCTCTTGTCGTTCTCGTTCCTCCTATGTGCAGCATCGAGAGCTAGGTTACGGTGACATGGGGCCATGGGATCAAAAATCCTGATGTCGAAGAAAGCTCGCTGTCCCCTCGTCCAGAATCCTCGAGCACTGACGTCCACACGGGCTTCATTAGATGTGTTTGAAGTCCTGTGTTGGAAGATCTCGCCATCCAATGGAAGGAGGGTCGGTTCTACAATGACATCCCGGCAGATTTCCTTCAACATATTTGCTGTGAGGTCCCTTACCTCGTCATGCCTCATGCATATGAAGCCCCCTTTCTTGCACACCATGGCGTGATCGCCATCATAGGAAGAGCCACACACGCATTGGGAGGGCAAACCTTCTACTGGTCGACCGTACCTTAGAGCAATGGCATCTGTAAATTCTTGTTTGTTAAGACTGAAACCATTTGCCCTTATCGGTAACGTAGTTAACCAGTTCGAGGCGCCCACCTCCTGCGCTATAGCTACTACTACTACTACTACTACTACTACTGCATTCTCCTGGTCGTGTTGCTGGGGTGTGTAGTGTTGAAGTTAGAAAGTATTATTAGTGTTAATTTAATTCATGATGCCATGTTTGTTGTTGCTGTTATCTTCATCTTGTTCTTGTTGTTTCTTCTCTTTTCTCTTCTTTCATTTTTGGCATTTTATAACCTTCTTCTTCTTCTTCTTCTTCTTCTTCTTCTTCTTCTTCTTCTTCTTCTTCTTCTTCTTCGTCTTCTTCTCCTTCTTCTCCTTCTTCTCCTCCTCCTCCTCCTCCTCCTCCTCCTCCTCCTCCTCCTCCTCCTCCTCCTCCTCCTCCTCCTCCTCCTCCTCCTCCTCCTCCTCCTCCTCCTCCTCCTCCTCCTCCTCGTGTTTCCAGGGTGTGTTGGCAATTGGCTCTGTGTTATAAGATGGCGTCTTGTTTACTACTGTTGTCTTTGGTGTTACTATTGCTCCTGTTACTGTTGCTCCTGTTTCTGTTGCTCCTGTTTCTGTTGCTCCTGTTTCTGTTGCTACCGTTACTTTTGTTACAGTTGCTACCGTTACTGTTTCTTCCGTTACTGTTGCTCCTGTTACTGTTGCTACCGTTATTGTTGCTACCTTTACTGTTGACTACCGTTAATGTTGCTACCTTAACTGTTGATACCGTTACTGTTGATCTGTTACTGTTGCTACCGTTACTGTTGCTTCCGTTACTGTTACTACCGTTACGGTTGCTCCTGTTACTGTTGCTCCTGTTACTGTTGCTATCGTTACAGCTGCTACCGTTACTGTTGCTACCGTTACTGTTGCGCCTGTCACTGTTGCTATCATTACTGTTGCTCATGTTTCTGTTGCTACCGTTACTGTTGCTCCCGTTACTGTTGCTACCATTACTGTTGCTCCCGTTACTGTTGCTACCATTACTGTTGCTCCCGTTACTGTTGCTCTCGTTACAGTTGCTACCGTTGCTGTTGCTGCCGTTACTGTTGCTACCATTACAGTTGCTACCGTTACAGTTGCTACCGTTACTGTTGCTACCGTTACTGTTGTTCCTGTCATTGTTGCTGCCGTTACTGTTGCTACTGTTACTGTTGCTACCGTTACAGTTGCTACCGTTACTGTTGCTACCGTTGTAATTGCTTGCTACCGTTACAGTTGCTACCGTTACTGTTGCTACCGTTACAGTTGCTACCGTTACTGTTGCTACCGTTACTGTTGTTCCTGTCACTGTTGCTGTCGTTACTGTTGCTACTGTTACTGTTGCTACCATTACAGTTGCTACCGTTACAGTTGCTACCGTTACTGTTGCTACCGTTGTAGTTGCTACCGTTGTAATTGCTACCGTTACAGTTGCTACCGTTAATGCTGCTACCATTACAGTTGCTACCGTTACTGTTGCTACCGTTACTGTTGCTACCGTTACTTTTGCTACCGTTACAGTTGCTACCGTTACTGTTGCTACCGTTACTGTTGCTACCGTTACAGTTGCTACCGTTACTGTTGCTACCGTTACTGTTGCTACCGTTACTGTTGCTACCGTTACTGTTGCTACCGTTACAGTTGCTACCGTTACTGTTGCTACCGTTACTGCTGTCCTTCAAGCTACAGTACACTTTTTTCCTCGAGTTATATTATATCTTTCTGTTGGTTGTTTTGTTCTTGCTACTGTTTTATTGCTACTGTTGTTACTGTTATTCTCCTGTTGTAATGGTTACTTTTGTTATTATTTATTTTGTTCCTGCTACTGTTGGTGCTGTATTTCTGTTTATCTCTTTTATTCCTTCTGTTACTGCTCCTGTTACTACAACCGTTTCTACTGTTATCCTACTGTTGCTATTACCGTTACTGCTGTGGTGGTGTGGCTCTTAGGGCGTGGTGGGTGTGGCTTGTAAGGTTGCAAGCTTGTTGTTCTGTTATTTTTGCAACATTTATCTATAGATACCGTTTTATCGTGTTACCTGTTGCTACTGTTACTGATGCAGAGGGTGAGGTAAATACTTTCTTTTTCTGTTACCTGTTACTACCGTTTCTGTTGCTACTGTTACTGATGCAAGGAGGTAAACACTTTCTTCTCCATTTACCAGTTACTACTGTTGTTACTGTTACTGATGCAAGGAGGTAAGGAGCATTGCAAGGGATGTGTGTGGGGGGGGGGAGGGTTGGAGGGTGGGTGTTGTGGTGTTGCATGTTGGTGAGTTAGTGAAAGTTGGTAGGCCCCTGGAGGATACATTCTCCATGGTCTATTATGAAGGACAGTGTGGTCTCTCTCTCTCTCTCTCTCTCTCTCTCTCTCTCTCTCTCTCTCTCTCTCTCTCTCTCTCTCTCTCTCTCTCTCTCTCTCTCTCTCTCTCTCTCTCTCTCTCTCTCTCTCTCTCTTTTGTCATCATTATCCATTTGTCTTGAGAATTTCACCACTGCCAGGAGAAACTATCCCAGGGGTGTCAACATAACTGTATCAAGAGTGTGTCCCAGGGATGCCAACAGAACAGGATTATAAGGTTCTCCAGCTCTCCGTGACATTTACCAACCTTACCGAGTGTGTGTGTGTGTGGTGTATACAGGTCCTGCCTACGCCACTAAACCAGCACCACTATAATTATTACCCTCGGTGACGTCCTTACTCTGTACTCTGAGGGTCAATGGTAAATTTTCTTCTCTAACGGGGAGCAAAAAGATTACTAAAACTGGAAATAGATTTTAAAACCAAAACAAACATGAATACAGTAACTAAAATAAAGTAATATAAAGCTTCAACTGACACTGTAACCAAGCCTATAAATCAAGCTGAAACGAGTAAATATCTCCAACTCTCAAAATTGTTTAGCAAGTTACAAAATATGCATATGATAATAGCCGAGTTATTTAAGAACTTCAACGCCTGAGAAGACCTAAATAAGTATAATTTTCAGATAGATAGTCCCGGGAGTGTGGTGCTTGGAATAACAAAGACACATTCATATGCAATCGAGAATCTACCAGGATCTAGTGTTGGCAGACGCTAGAGGGGCGTTTAAGAATGAGGACGCCGAATTTCATTGATGTGTACTGTTGGTAGTGTTATTTGTATACTTTATGGTAAGGTTGGCAGACCTGGGATGAATCAAAGCACTGTGAGGGGTCATGTTGGTATTACTGGTTGTCTGTACTGTGTGGTTGGCAGGCCTGGAGAGAATCAAAACACTGTGAGAGTCATGTTGGTATTACTGGTTGTCTGTACTGTGTGGTTGGCAGGCCTGGAGAGAATCAAAACACTGTGAGAGTCATGTTGGTATTACTGGTTGTCTGTACTGTGTGGTTGGCAGGCCTGGAGAGAATCAAAACACTGTGGGGGTCATGTTGGTATTACTGGTTGTCTGTACTGTGTGGTTGGCAGGCCTGGAGAGAATCAAAACACTGTGGGGGTCATGTTGGTATTACTGGTTGTCTGTACTGTGTGGTTGGCAGGCCTGGAGAGAATCAAAATACTGTGAGAGTCATGTTGGTATTACTGGTTGTCTGTACTGTGTGGTTGGCAGGCCTGGAAAGAATCAAAACACTATGAGGGCTGGAGCGATCATATTCAAAATTAATTATACATTCAAGTTTGTGAGCTAAAACAGCAGAAAAATGTTATTAGTTGCGTTTTGAATGAGACAGCATCAAAGTTGGCGGCCGGATAACATCAAGCTGTTTGTTCTAGTAATTGTTAACGATTGTTCGTTCTTTTATGAGTAATATGACGATATGTTGACTAATGATTACACACAACTGTATCACCGTACCATTGTATCTCTGCGTGTGTGTGTGTGTGTGTGTGTGTGTGTGTGTGTTGGAATCTGACAATTAGAGATATTTAAGTAAGAACTAATGACTGTGGCATAACAAGAGTCGACGACACAGATTACTAACATTTCTCCTTTGATGACTTGACCTGAGACCCTGGAACAGAAGACTGGTTGCCCTTAGTTTTAATAATTGTCCTTATTTATTTATTATTTATTTGTTTGTTTATTTGTTATATTGAAGATGAAATAATCGTAGTTGAGGTGTTCATGAGTGAGTTTAATTAATTCTTTAAACACAAGTCCTGGACAAAACTATTGGTCAGCGGCAGATAAAATAATAAGAAACTATGCAGGAAACAGCGAAGAATTTATTATAGTACATCTCTTAAATAAACTAACAGTGCTTATGATGTTCCGACAACTGGACGTTAAAAAAACACTTACTGTACTTCCGACGTGTAAAATTTGTTTGGGATGTGTGTGTGTGTGTGTGTGTGTGTGTGTGTGTGTGTGTGTGTGTGTGTGTGTGTGTGTGTGTGTGTGTGTGTGTGTTTTCTCTCCCTTTGTCTCTAAAAATGTATCTCAGTCTATCTCTATCTCTCTGCACTTCTCTATCTCTCTACATTTCTCTATAACAACACAGGTGCTCGAAGCCTCACCAATAGACTTACCTTCTTCCCTCACCTCGTTTAAGTCAACGTTACCGTCTAAAATTTCCTAAATATTGTTGACTAAAATATTTTCTCACCAGTATTCCAGATAATAATAATAATAATAATAATAATAATACTTAATAATACCTTCTCTTCACCCTAATTCATATAATTTTTTTAAGTTATCTACACAGGCTCTACACGAGTCAGTCTTCTCAGTCCTTCACCTTAGCCTTCAGAGACTCATATTAGACTCTTGTATTAATAATTGGAGTCTCAAGTATTATAATCGAAATGTTTGAGTCGTAGTTTAACTGAGTCTGTTAGATATATTACTAAGGCTCCAGTTAGCGAGTTGGTTTAATATTGGAACCTTTTGAGAGTATTGAGTTTACTGTGACAGATCTTACCGCTGACATTGTTACTAAGAAGTTTCATTGTTAAGAGATGTTATTCACCGCGTACTTGGCTCTTTAACTGTTATTCATCACTGAGTTAAATGACCAGGGGATATATTAAGTTATAAGGTGTCAACAAACAAAGTGACAAGAGTTGTATGAAGCCATTTAGTGTCAGATAAATAATGGTGATACAAACAACATTCTTCGCGCCATAACTTCTCTTGGCCAGTGAGTGAGTGAAAGACGAAGAGTGCGGAAAGATATGATAGATAGAAGTATTCAAGTGGGTGAAAGGAATCAATAAAGGTGATATAGATAAAGTTCTTATAATATCCGAGCAGGATAGGACTCGGAACAACGGATTCAAGTTGGATAAGTTTAGGTTTAGGAGGGAGATAGGAAGAAACTGGTTCACAAATAGGATGGTGGACGAGTGGAACAAGCTTAGCAACTTTGTAGTAAGTGCGGGAACGCTGGAAAGTTTCAAAGGGAGGCTGGATAGATTCATGGATGATATAGAGTGGTAGTAACTCTCGACAGGAGCTGCCATGCACAGGCCAACCGGCCTATTGCAGACTCCTTATTTTCTTATGTTCTTATGTTCTTATGTACATCCTCCGCCAGGGATCACAAATAGATACATACAGAAAGTGCTGGTACAGGTGAATGTAGCTACGTGAAGGTGAATGTACAGTAAAGTAGTTTAAATAGAAGGTTAAGTTAAATAGATTTCTGCCTGTCACTGCTCCCTGTCACCCCGTTATTGACGAAATGACATTCTTCATCATAGAGACAGTCATGTATAGAGCTGCGGCACAGTTAAGAAGAGTAGACAGACCACCACGCTGTGTTGAGTAATCACGACCACCAAAGCCTTTGTTCATTGTTAGACTGACGGACTATGAGAAGAACGCTACTCACAACTACTCCAGATCACAGGTTTAAAAGCAGATTACAGCACAAGATACAAAAAAACAATACAAAATAACACTTACGTAGAGATGAAAAGCTGACATTACCAGCGTCAACAAAATCTGTAATTACATAAGAACATAAGAAAATAAAGAGTCTGCAGTAGGCCGGTTGGTCTGTGCATGGCAGCTCCTGTCGAGAGTAACTACCACTCTCTATCATCCATGAATCTATCCAGCCTCCTTTTGAAACTTTCCAGCGTTCCAGCGCTTACTACAAAGTTGCTAAGCTTGTTCCACTCGTCCACCACCTTATTTGTGAACCAGTTCCTTCCTATCTCCCTCCTAAACCTAAACTTATCCAACTTAAATCCGTTGCTCCGAGTCCTATCCTGCTCGGATATTATAAGAACTTTATCTATATCCCCTTCATTGATTCCTTTCACCCACTTAAATACTTCTATCATATCTCCCCGCACTCTTCGTCTTTCTAGGGAATGCAAGTTTAGTTTCTTTAACCTATCTTGATATGGAAGGTTTC